AGTGAAAGCAGGGAGACAGTTAGGTCGCGCTGGGCCTGCGCTGGGGGCGGCGGCGCGCCTGAGCTGGGAAAGCCTCAGGGGCACCTGGCTCGGGCCCCCGGCGCGGTTAGGGCTTCGGGTCCCAGCCCCAGCAGCGTGCGGCGGACCGGCCCTCCCGGGCTTTGTGGCTGGGGAATGGGAAGCAGTGGCCGGACGCCGAAGGCATGGGGGCAGATGGTGTGGAGCACACACACCCGCGGGGCACAGGAGGCCTCAACCTAGGAGCTCGTGGTAGTGGGGCCGGAGGGGGAGGGGAGGTCGAGGCAGCCTCGGCCGTGAAGCCAGGCTTTCTGGTGTGGGTGCACTAGTGGGGGAGGGAGATATAGGTGTCGCCACTACTCCTGCGTAGACCTGGTTAGGCGCTAAGGTCTAGGAGTTGGTGGTAACCCGAGATGATGAACCTAAAAAAAAAAAGTATCAGGTTCTGTTTGCCGCCGAGTGAGAGGTGGTGGTGGAATTGAATTCTTTGCCCCCTACCCCCAATAATTGTTAACCCTTTTATTTGCATATGTCTTGAATCGTATTGCTGCCGTCCTCCCTCCACCGAACCCAAGCTCGTATGTAGATTGTAGTTTGAGGCTTCTTTGGTGGTGAAGATTTTTGCATTAGAACTCTTCGAATCCAGGCTCAAACTCAACGCCAGATTTAACGAGTATTGGAATTATAGGAGTTGGAATCCTGCACCCTCCTCCGATCCCCCAAATAGCATTTCAAGGGCGGGGGGGAGGGAGAGTAAAAACTGAGTCTCTTCTGCAGTTAAAATCTTAAACGCTTCGGAAATCCACGTGGTAAATTCTCATGCCATCTTCTGTATTTGTGACTGCAAAAAGACACTATGTTGAAGTCAATATAACTTTATGTGGGGATTCTAAAAATGACAGGATTGTAAAGTTACTGCTTATGTTCTGTAATTGTGATGCTATACACCGTTAAGATTGTCATAATGCCAAGTTTAAACTAGCAACTTTCTGCCCATCTATATTTTAAAAAACAGTTGATTCTATTTTGGGTGGAATTCGGGGATCTTGGTGCTAAATAGACCTGAGTTCCACTTATCGCTCTGTAACTCATTCGCTGTGATCTTGGGCAAATTACTCTCCGTTTCACACTCTGTACAAAGGGGATAATATCTGCCTTGCAGAGATGTGTGGATTAAGTGGTATTTAGTTGGTAGTCAACAAATGGAATCATTCACTTAATAAATGGTTACCTTTGAGTGAAGATATGTTACGTTTTATATGTCTCATTTAGTCTTACGAAGTTTTCTACATCTATAATTGTTGAAGAAACAATTAGCTTTTTTGGAATTCTGACACAAATGATTTGATTTCAAGATATGTAGATGTTTGCTGTGTGATAAATTCTAAAGGTACAGGAGATACCAATTATATATGAGAAACTTTTCAATGTCCTCAGAAATAATTGACAACATCCTGTGGACTGATATTAGAATAGACTGATAATAGAATCAAACTCTTCTTGAATATTCCATTACTGCTTAGTATATACTTACAATAAGTTAAAGGAAGAAAGTTAAAATGCAGTTTTCTGTTCAATAATTTCAGATAAAACTACATAAAATGCTTATTTGATTTTGGTTCCTTGTGGTAATAAATGTAACTTTATCATCTTATAATACTCAGAATTAATTCAAGAATTATTGAAACTTAAGGGAGGTTTTTTGTTTTTGTTTTTAATATCTGGGTTTATTGCAGTTATGCTGTGACTCCACAGCTCCACCGAAATATTTGTTCTATAAGGTTTGATAAGCTCGATAGGCACTTTACACATAATTATCTTAAAGGCAGTGTTGTATTTGTTTAAATTCTTAACTACATTTGCTGCTCTCCGTTTTATTTCCAAGGGAATGTAATAAGTTATGGAATGTAATAAGTTATACTTTTAGAAATATATTTTCAAAAAGTTCATTGTCAGAGTGGCTTCTTCAGATTTTTGTTACTTTTTATGTAAATATAATTTTGTTGATATTAATATAAATATAAAAACTAATACTGTTGCTCCGGAGCAAGAAATTACATAAAGAAAAAACATAGCTTTTGATATTTGGACCATTTACATTAAAATGACTTGTCAGTTTTTATTTTAGTGGCTTTGAGTTTAAGTTTCAGGAATGCTTTTCAAGGTAACTATTTTAATTCCATCTTTATACTGGGCTTTAATTAATGTTTTTAATGAAAATAATATTAATTTAGGGCAATTCTAAATGTACTGTTTTTAATTTGTTGTGAGATCTAGGTAACCGATGATATTAGAAATACATCTAAAATAAAGAAAAAATAGGATTTTAGTGAGACCTATAGGGATATCTACAGTGAACCGATCTTGTCCTCTGAGACCTGTATTTTGGCTGCTCAAAGGTTTGTCTTTGATTTTTATGTAGAAGGAGCTAAGAAAGTTAAGTAACTTAAGGTAGCCAGTATGGAAACTCTTGTGAGCTTGAGATGAGAATGAGCAAAAGTGAGAGAAAGGACTGAGAGATAAAGAGAATCTTGGGAGTGATTATTTGTTGAACAATTAAATGTTTAGTGAGCTTTGCTGACAGGACTAGAGGAGTACAGGGACATGTAGGACGAGGTCTGCGTCTTCTGGGAGCTTTATTGACCTAGTCAGGGCTTAGTGGCTGTAGAGTAGGGTATGTATAAAGTGGAAAAAGCAAGAGAATTTGTATTTAAGGTGTTTTTTGGTTTTTTTTTTGGTTTTTTTGCTCTAGTTTTTGAAAGTTGAAAGTCATTTCCCCGCTTCCACTTTTTTTTTTAACTAGCAAAACTTTCTTATACTTCTTAACCATTTTGTATCATTTGACCATCACTGTGCACTTCCTTTAGTGTTAACCTTTACAGAGCTCTTTTTATTTTTATGATAGTATTGTATCCCTTATAAAATATTCAAACAGTATAGAAACAAAACGAGATGGTGGTATATGTGGGGTGGGGATACCATTACTAAAAGAGATTTTCTTCATTGCGTGGTGTTCTATTTTAAATAGATGATTTACTGTTTAAAAATTGTGGGGAAAAATTGAAGTATCCTACACACTAAAGCATTCTGAGACGCCTAATAGGCCTACTATAAAATTTTTTTTAGTTCTGAAGTTTGGTAGTGTGATGGACACTTAGAGAGCTCAGGTCCAAAATCACCTAGTTTTTTGTATTGCTGTTGCTTAAAGCCATTAATTAAGAACAGGCAAATTAAAGAATAAAAATTATGAGATAATTGCAGTACAGTGCAGTATTTTATTGCATCACTGAAATGATGACAAGAAAGAGTGTGGTATAGAGAGTAATCCTGCAATCTGCTAACCCTTGACACTGGTTATATGGTATGAATAGCTGGGAAAAAAAAAACCCCAAAAAACAGTGAATTTGAAATGAGACTTTAAAGGACATTAAAACTGTGTATATACATTGGATATTTTTGATTGTAAGATACAGTAGTTTTAATTTCTATAGACAGCATATTTACTGTGCTGTACAATAATCTGCAAACAAGTACCTCATGTCGTAGTTTCTCTGTCATGTTGGTAATTGTTATAAAATACTGCTTTAGTGTTTGTTCTGTGTGCAGTATTTGCTAGCCATCATTTATTAATGAATTGTTCCTATTGTGGTTTATTGTCTTTTCAATATAGTCATGCTAGATGTGCAATAGTAGTGTCTTATCATAGAAGTTTCCTATATTATTGAAGCATTAAATAATAAATATATTAAAATACTGTATCACAGAGGTGAAATTAAGGGTTCTTGGCATTTTGGTAGAACAAAATACAGAAAGAAACTGGGAAATCCTGTATAGTTTCTGCCAGACTTTTGCTCTTTCAATACCTGGCACACAGGGGGTTTTTAATCTTTTGCGTGAATTGAATACATTATTTTGGTGAGCTGTCAAGTCAGTGATCCCTCAATGTAGTGTTTG